CCAATAGTTCCTTGGCAAGTAGATCGCTGAACCCTACACAGATCCAATTCGCTCTGCTTTAGTGGCGGCTTAGGTATGCGCTCTATATCAGCACATATGCTATTGGTTTTTCGTGCTATGTTTTCAAATCACCATTCGAATTCGATTTTTCTTTTTGAGTATCCACTTGACATTTTTTCAGAATTCCTTGTGTTTAATTTTGAAATTGATTTCTTTCAATTGTTGCTTTGCTTTCGATTAAGAAAATGGGTATTTTAATTTAGGGATAGATAAATGTAAAAGAATACGTTGTGTATTGATCTGTGTCAAGGAGTTACAATATATAGAGACCCTAATGGGCTTAAGTGTAAGGCCCAAACCTAATCCAAACCTAATCCTAATACAGTCAGAATACAGTCAGACTATTTACGGATAAGACAGAATCCAATCATATCTAATCAAATCTAATCATATCATATCTAATATTCTAACAGGGATTTATGCGAAGCAAACTATGTGAATTGGGACCTATGAATAATTAACTTATGACTTGTCTTATCACACTCCCAAATTGAAAATTGTAGGGCTGATTTTGATTTGAATGGGGATTTTATTATTCAAAATTGTCATTTGAATCTTCTTGCCATTTACAACTCAAATCTTGATTTAGGTTATTTTGCCATGGGAAACAAAGTGGGGAAGCAAGAAAGGGAAGATGTGATATTGCTTAAGATTGTACCTCCATTGGATCAAGCATATGTTAAATGGCTTGCCAAAGATGTTGCAGTAATTCACGGCTTTACTCCAAGATGTGTTCGTGCAATGAAACCACCATATCATTATGTTGAATATATCAAGTTGAATGGGTGGTTGGATGTGGATTTAGATGATCCTGATATTGCTCATTTGTTCAAGTAGATAATTTTTGTATGCCATATAGACAATTCGCCTGAGTTGTTGCAGCTGTATTATGGTTGTATCAAATTGTGTGTGAAAGAGATAAATGGTGGGCAATTCAAAAGTGCTTGTATAATCTAGAACTGATGTTAATTTTTAATTTTGCTATTACATATAGACAATTTTTTTTTACTAGTTGTTGGTTTTGTACACTTGGTGATTTTACTTGTTTTGTGCTTCGGTAACTTTTTTGTCAATATCATAATGTCTTATGAGCTAATGTATTCCCATAATATTGTACTTTTGTTTTATGTTCAAGAAAATAACATCTAAATCATTCAGAGAATTTGATGAGTATAAGAAAAATCTTGTTATATTTGGCGTTTCTTATGTTTTCATCCCTTTTATTTAAGTTAAAAAAAATGTTATTCACATTATGAACATTAAAACCACAATAAATTTGTTTTAAGTTAATATATATATTAATTATGAATTTTTTTTAAATATTGAATATTTTTATTTTTACAAAATTATTTTATCTTTTTGACATACTCATCAATAGATTTTTATAAAAATTAATATCACATGACATATTTGTAAAAATTTTATAATTTTTTTATTAAAGGGTATTTTTGTCAAAAATATTTATTTTTATCCTATCTAGTATTATACCGTGCATTACCCAACACTAGATAGTATTATCTTACACAATACATTATCTTATACAATGTCATGCCAAAAAATGGATAGTATTAAAATTTAATCAAGTCTTATACAATCAGGCCTTATATTATCGGGTCTTATACTATCAGGTCTTATCATATACTATGCACCAAACATGCCCTAAAGGGACCTCTTCTGTATAAGCTTATACTATACGATGGTCACACTAAATAACTAAAATGTCATAACGTATTGTATAAGCTTATACTATCAGGCTTTATACATCATACCAAACAGGCACTAAATTGATTAACCTGGATTTAAAGTAATTGTTTTAATTAATCAGACTCCTGATATTTATAGGAATAAATTTGAATTTAGCAAAAACTCAAGTTGTTTTTTTATATTTTATGGGAAAAAAAGTTTGTCCTTTTAAATGTTATAACTTTGTGTAATTTTAGATCCTAATCGTTGATTTTCGTCAATCAACAGTTAGAATTTATTGGGTTTTATTGCGAATTACTAATTAATTAATAATTTTGATCCAATAAATCCTAGTCGTTGATTGACAGAAATCAACGATTAAGATTTAAAATAACACAAAGTTATATCTTTAAAATGACAAACATTTCCTCCATATTTTATATATCTTGATTGATTAGGACTACAAAACAATTACATCTAATTAACATGTGATGGTATTCAAATTATCACAATTGATACAAATTTATTAACGATGAATTGTTATGATCAAATTTATTCAATAACTTCACAGCAAAAAAATTAAATGAAAGCGTAGTGCATTATTCCAAAATTTTCTGTAAGGAATCCGTAGTCCATATCTTCTTAGTTTAGGGTAAGTTTTCCTTTCTTTGCATTCTACCCGTTGATGTATGGAACAGTGATCAAAATGTCACTGTTCACTGACTTTTTTACCTAAATGCCATCCGAATAGTGTTATTTCGCAATATGCTACGCGGGCAAGTTCGCTACAGTGCTCGGCGAACTTGGTTTGCTGACGTGGCACGTTTCTGGTGGACAACAAGTTCGCTACTCCCAGTAGCGAACTATGTTGCAATAAATGCTGACACATTGGAGAAGTTCGCTGCCACATGCAGAGAACTAGGTGTGCCACGTGTCTGACATGCACCAAGTTCGCTGAATGTCCAAGCGAACTAGGTGCCACGTGGCACAATCAAAATTAATGTATTAATCATAACAAAACACAGAAAAATAAGGAAAATGACAATTTTATTAATGTGCCAATCAAAATTAATGTGCCAATTAACAATCACGATTAATGCATCAAACACAATTAGCGTACAAATAGGATTAACTTTTGATTGTACCAATCAAAATTAATGTACCAATCACCAATCACTTCGGAGCGCCATAACTTTTGATTCAGATATCCAAATTATATATTTTTTATTTTATTTCATATAATTTTTCGAGTTCTACCCAATGACACCTCATTTGAAATATTTTATCTCTCACAAACATCGTTCGAATTTGTAACAATGATATCACAAACAATTAAATGTACTGATCAAAATTAATTGTGATTTATACATTAATTGTGATTGGTGATTGATATATTAATTGTGATCAAAATTAATTGTGAATGGTGATTGATATATTAATTGTGATTGGTGATTGGTACATTAATTGTGATTAATACATTAATTATAATTAATTGTTATTTTCCTTTTTTTTCTATTTTTTTATTGTGATTGAAACATTAATTCTGATCGGGCAATGAGATTGTGCCACCTAGCACACCAAGTTCACTACCCCTGGTAGCGAACTTTGTCCAGTCATCTTTTCCTGTAAAAGTGTGCTACGTGTCACGAAATCATTGGCTACCAAATTCGCTACCAGTCGTAGCGAAGTTGGACACGTGGCAGTCAACTTTTCCTGTCAAAATATGCCACGTGTAACGAAATCATTGGCTACCAAGTTCGCTGGGCACTGTAGCGAACTTGTCCGCGTGGCATATTGAGAAATTGCACTGTTGGCGTGGCATTTAGGAAAATAAGTTGTGGAACAATGGCACTTTGGTCACCGTTCCTTGATGTATGCACTTCACAAGACTAGGATTTCATATTTAAATTTCCCTAAAGTGGCCTTTGGATGGTTATAAGTGGGCCTATGTTTTTTTTTTATCTCTTTTTCTTCAAATGACCTCACATGAACTTCATATATTGTTATGTATACAACATGAAAATATTAATCCCTTAATTCATTGAGATTACTTTTTCTCATGTTGTAAGAGATAATTCTATCTCCTACATACATGAGGGAGATATTTCAACATGATGATTAGATAAATAGTGAGTTGGTAGTAGATTTTTTTTGTTAATAAGAATATCCCCTTTTAATTCATAAACAAAATCATATGATATGGAATTGAAAAGGAATAATCTTTTCTTAATCACTAACCTTGAATCACTCTAAAACAATATATTATATGGAATTGGAAAGGAATAATTTTTGGTTAATGAAAAACCTTCAATCACCCAAAAATTGAATTGCAAAAGGAATAATCTTTTCTTAATTACTAACCTTGAATCACTCCAAAATCATATGATATGAAATTTAAAAGGAATAATTTTCGTTTAATTACAAACCTTGAATCACTCTAAAATTGAATTGGAAAGGAATAATCTTTTCTTATTACTAACCTTGAATCACGCTAAAATCATATGATATGAAATTTAAAAGGAATAATTTTGGGTTAATTACAAATCTTGAATCACTCTTCTCCACTACTGCTGTAGTGCTATATAAAACCCTGATTTCATCCATTGCAGCTTATTCACTAAATTTATATTCCATTGCTATATAGAATAATAATTAATCAAAAGTATTATATACTCACTAATTTTCCGTTTCTCTCATCTCATATTCATTGCTCTTTTTCTCTCTGTCTCTCAATGGATCATTCTTTTTTTATTATTTAAAATAAAATGTTAACACATAAAATAATTGATTTTCATAATATGCTATATATAGTACATGTCGTTAAATAATAATTTAAATGCTTGTTCAAATATTAAATCAATTCAATATTAATGTATTTCAATGTAAAAATAAATTATAATTGTAACTACTGACGAGGGTTTATACCTTTGAATGAGTTCGAAAACTTATTTAATTGTTAACGTAATCAAATTCATCAAAATGATTAGTCAACACAAAATCATGCATGACTATTCACGAAAAGGATTATCTTCCGTTTAACATTTAATGCCAAAAATATCGAATCCGCGTCCCACAATCCCCTTTGGGTACATTCAAATGCAATCGTTGTTTTATTTGAAAAATAAAATCATATAATCTGAAATTGGAAAGGAATAATCTTAGCTTGATTACAGACCTTGAATCAATCTATTCTATCACTGCTATAGTGCTATATATAACCCTTGTCTCATTCATTCTTACTCCATTCCGCTCTGAACATGGCTTCTTATCATTCTCTTCTCCTTCTCTTCCTACAACTCACAATGTTAATCATTTGCTTGTGTGGAATATCACTCGCTGGAGCACTCAACAATGGCTTCAGTGTGGAACTTATTCACAGAGATTCTGAAGAATCTCCATTTTACAACCCCACTGAAACTCCTTTCCAGCAAATGACCAATTCCTTTGACCGTTCTTTCAACAGTCTCAACCGTTTCTACCCACAAGCAAAAGTTTCTCCAAAAGCAGCCCAGTCTGAAGTAATCTCTGTTCAAGGAGAATACCTCGTGAAGTACTCAATTGGTACGCCACCTTTTCAAATCATTGGCCAATTTGATACAGCCAGTGACCTCATTTGGTCTCAGTGCAAACCTTGTGAATTTTGCTTCAAACAAACCAATCCAATATTCGATTCTTCCAAATCCAGGACTTACAAAACTGTTCATTGCTCATCCAGGCTATGTCAATCATTTGATCTTAACGTTTGCGACTCCAATGCTGGTTCTAAACAACATTGTGAGTACGATATCTTGTATGCGGATGGATCATATTCAAATGGGAATCTTGCAGTTGATACACTCACCTTAGGCTCTACTACGGGTCGCCCTATTTCCTTTCCCAAGATTACCTTTGGTTGTGGTTTCAACAATTCTCTTACCTTCGTCACAAAAGGTTCTGGCATAGTTGGCCTAGGTCGTGGTAAATCCTCATTTATCTCCCAAATAGGTCATTCCATTGATTTCAAATTCTCATATTGCTTGGTGCCATTCTTTGAATCCAAATCCACAAGTACATTAAATTTTGGGGGAAATGCTGTGGTGTTTGGTTCTGGGACAGTTTCAACTCCTCTTGCATCTGGTGATTCTCCTTCTTTCTATTACCTTACATTGATGGGAATGAGTGTGGGGCCCAGAAGACTGGATCTTTTAACTGTTTCAACCGCAACCGGTAATAAGAAAGGTAACATCATAATTACCACAGGCACAACACTTACCTTACTACCTGAGAAGTTCTACTTCAAATTGGAGGCTGAAGTTGCGGCACAAATCAAATTAAAACGTGTTCAGAGTGCAGATCCAAGTCTAAACCTTTGCTATATGTCACCACCAAATACAATTAAACCTCCAATCATTACCGCACATTTTCCTGGCGCGAACGTTCGGTTGGATTCTTTCAACACTTTTGTTAGTGTCTCTGAAGATGTAGTGTGCTTTGCTTTCGCCCCAGTGTCAGACGGAGCCATCTTTGGAAGCTTAGCGCAGATGAACTTCTTGATTGGTTATGATTTGTTGAAAAATACTGTGTCCTTTAGGCGTGCTGCTTGCTCTAAGATGTAATCATCAAATCACTTCTGATGTATTGCTTGATCAAAAAAATAAAGAAATTAAAATTTAAAATATTTTTGTGCTATTTGATGAGACTTTACATTGAATGTAATTTTTCAAATTGGTATAGCTCTGTTCTCTAACTATTCCGTTAAGTTTTCATTTTCGTCATATAGTAATAATTCAATATCACTTTGACTTTGTAAGATCTAATATAAATGGTCATCAAAGAATCAGTTTCAAAGGTCATTATTATAACATTTATATGACCAACCTGAAGAAGAGAGAGACGTCTGATGAAGGAAGAGACTCTCATCACATTCAACTTTTCCCATAGCATATTGTCCATGACCATCAAATCGTAATACACTTTTCCTCAAATTATACATTGACGTATGAAGTAAATCTTTTCATTGGAAAATTTCTGTAGAATTTTGCTAATTATATTTTTGTGCTGAATTATAGTAAGGATGAACTCAAATGGCGAAAGGTTGCAGCTTTTTAAGTTAAATTATAAGATTACGTATAGAAATTCAAAAAATGACCGAAATTATTTTTTAACAAATACATTAGCAGTTCAAAACCTACTGAAATTAAATTATGACTAAACATCCTTTTTAGTCCCTGGCAATATCCTATTCTGATATCTTATCATACAAGCCAGGAAGTTTTTTCTGCTTTGAAGCTTTACTTTTTCGAAGCAGCAGTCCTGATCTACATACGTCAACACATGTAAAATTCACCAGAGGCATTCGCGGGGACACTCTGAGAAGATGAATGCAGCTAAATATAATTAAACTGGTCACCTATTCATATAATGTACTAGCAAGAGGTCAAGTGTATCTAAATGATCCTGTAAACTAGGAAGTTGATTGAAAATATAATTAAATGTGACTCTTCATTTGCAAGGAATGAAGGTCGCTTTTGCCTAATTGCACAGGAAGTCTATGATGTCATATATTATGAATCAAAGCAATTTTAACCATTTTTCATATTCGAATTTATTTAAATGTGGTTTTTGAAACACACCCACAGGGAGCGTTGCTCTATGGGAAGGAAGGTTGGTTCATGTAATAAATCTGTGGGTACTAGTTTCATTTATGTGATGGTTAATTTGACCAAGATTATGTGATGGAAATTCTCGCGGATGATCTAGGATTTTCACAGGAAAAGAAAGCAAGCTTTCATCTTTAATTTGTTCGAGCCGAGTTATAAGTAGATTAATGAAACAATTTGGATTTTCTAGAAAATCTTTAATGTCAAGGATGACATGTCTTAATATTACAATCAACTCCAACCGTCAATTTTAAGCATGAAAGTGATTTACATATTTTACGTTAATGTATTTTTGTTAAAACAGAACAAGTAACTACATCGTAAAGATGAGGATGTAATACTAAGTTCAGTTCAGTTCAATTCTTGTATGTCTTATTCTGACAAAGAAGAAAGTAAAGAATTTATTTGGAATTGTTAAAAATGCTTTATGTAATAATTTGCTGCAGTGGATCATGATTTAAACTGTTATCGTGTTTCGAACAATGTACGATTCTAGAAATGAGTTGGCTTATAACTATGTTGTGACCATCTCAATTCTCACGTCTACTAATGCTTTGTTTCTTTACTTTGATGGAGTATTTTATGTGAGCATATACACTTGACCCTGTTTTCTTATTCTTTAATGCATATAAAATGTTAAATGAAGTTTTCATATTAGGAATAGTCCAGATCCAACAAATTGTTATCGGTCAATAATTTTAAAATAACAAATATGTGTTTTTACTCTCTTCCTCACATTGCAGAAAGGTAGAAGAAATGAATAAATGTTACAAAGCATGCATATTTTCCTCGAAACAAGACAATCTCATCTAAGGCTAAGCTATGAAAGAAAAAAAGATTATTTTGCATGGGAAACTGAAATACTGGGAGGAGCCTCATCTTCTGGTATACTCTTAAGTTCCTTATCATCTTCTTTTGGCACAGGATACATTTCTCTTGTCAGCATAGGTGGTGGACTTGATGACTGCACAACAACCTCATCCGGCGATAGTGGTGATGATGATGAGCGTGGGGAGATTGATAGCAAACGGGATATCCCGTTGCCATCTATAGGGTAAACTTCTGAAACTTCTTCCATGCCCTCATCCAGATACAACACATCCTGCATAGTCAACTGCAGTGGTGAAAGAAAGAAGAAAGAAAGAAGAAGAAGAAAGAAAGAAGAAGAAGAAGAAAGGAAAAAAAAGAGAGAGTAAATATCCTTCAGAAACCAGGAAATGGGTGAAAGAAAGAAGAAGAAGAAAGAAAAAAAAAATTAAAAGATACCTAAACGACGTCGTCTCTTCTTCAAGCCGCGTCATCACACTAACGTGCCACATGAGCACCATTAGTTTGGCCTTACGGTGGAGTTCACAGAAGGACTAACGTGACCCTTTTTTTGTTATTTCAGGGACCAATTTGATCTTTTTTTATTGCCAGAGACTAAAAAAGACTTCGTAGATATTCTCGGGTACTAAAAAATTGTTTACTCTTAAATTATCTTGGGCTCAGAACAAGCGGATAGAAATTCAAATTATTAGTCTAGGTGGTTTTGAGTTGCAGCTTTAGGTTTACGGTGACTTAATTTGAGCCTGTTTTTTTGTTTTTGTTTTTTTTGTTTGTAAATTTTTGAGCCTGTTTTTTAGATGGGCTTTCAAAAAGATTACTTTTTATGCCTTATAGCTTTCAAAAAGATTACTTTTTATGCCTTATTTATTTTAGAAATAATTTTTTTTTTATAAAAGTTAAGACTATTTGGATATTTTTAAAAAAAATTAGTTTTTCAAAAAAATATTTGGCTTTTGAATTCTTTTTTTTGTCAGAAGCTAAAGTTTTTAGCTTTCAAGAAAAGCAGGTTTTTTGCTTTTTTTTTTTTTATGATTTCTCCTTTTTTCTAAAATGAGGCATTCAAATAAACTTTTTTTGAGAAGTGTTTTTTTTTTTTTTTAAAAAAAAGTAGCTTTTCGACAAAAAAACCCCTCATGAAAACAGACCCTTGATAATAAAGAGAATTGAGAAAATGAATAATTAAGGGTGTAAATGTAGCTGGTCAATGCAGACTTTAGTCGGGATGGATTAGGCCTATGTAAATTATTTCAAGTCTATCTTGACTTGTTTTTTTTAAATAAAAGTTTGGCCTGGCTTGTCAAGCCTATTATGCCTTAAAAAAATAATATAATGCACTTTCTAAATTATAGGTTATAATTACTTAGTATAATAGCTGAACACAATTTAAAATATCGATAATTTGACTATGTTGTTGAATATAAAAAACAATCAATTGAATCAAATTATATTACTTTTTTATTACTTTATTATAATTTGACTGTGTGTGTGCAAAAATGAGCACAAAAGTATTTATTTGAAGACTAAACAACCATGATACTTAAATATAAAAGAAATATCAAACAACTGAAAGCCAATCAAATTAAATAAATAACCATAGATATAAACACATGCCCAACAAGCAAGAACAAGATATGTATACGTATACAACACCCAGAAATCAAATAATATATGTTTTTTTTAATGAAAATTTTGAAAAGAGATAATTTTGTCAATGAGAGAAAAAAAAGCATAAATAATAAGGATATGTTATTAGCTGTGAAATTGAGAGTTAATGGTGAGCAATGGATGGCTTAGAAGGTACGCAGAACAGTAGCGAAATTTGGCTAATGATTTTAAAAGAAGGTGGCGTACTAATTGAGTACTTCACGAGGAATCAAATATTTGCCATATATATATTTGAAAGTATTAAATGCGGGGAATCATAACCATACAAATTAGGGATGTTCATCAACCGATCCAAACCGCTGAAACCGAACCGAAAAACCGATAACCGAATAAACCGAAAATCGAAAAATCGAAAACCGAAAAAAAATCGCAAAATTTAATTGGATTGGATCGGTTTTCGAATAGATTGATGAAAACCGATCCAATCCAAACCGATCCAATATATTAATTCTCCTCTACCTATTTAGTCTTTTTCCCAATCATAGCCCAATAATTTTTAAACCCAAGACCCATTAATTCATCAAATAAATCCAAGAAAAAATCTAGTCGCGTCTCATCAACAAAATTTTACATGTGTAGAGTTTCATATCTCATTGAAAAAAAAAAACTATAGTATCGTTTACTGATATTTTCGTATTTCAAATTTTTTTTACAAAGCCAATATATACAAAATATGTTATTTGCACAATAATTATGAAACTAATTTTAGGATATTCAAAAAACCGAAAACCGATCCAATCCAAACCGAAAAAAATTGGATTGGATCGAATCGGATTTAAAAAAAAATTCAAACCGAATGGATGATTACATGATCAAACCGAAAGGATTGGATCGGATGAGTTTTGCTTCCAAAATCGATCCAATCCAGACCGCGAACACCCCTAATACAAATGATAAAAGCATTAAATGTGGGGAATCACAACCATACACATGTCGTTGTTGTACGTAAAGCGGCTGCAGAAATGATTTTACCATATATATAGAGAGTGAGGCAAGATCATCTTACACCTGTGTAAGGATAATAAGTCTTACATTAAATCTTAACCGTTGATTTTCGTACATCTAATGGTTAAGATTTATTGGGTCACAATCATTAATTAACTATTAATTTTCAATAAATCTTAACCATTATATGCACAGAAATTAACAGTTAAAATTAGGTGTAAGACTTATTATTCTTACACTGATATAAGTTGATCTCTTCCTATACACACACATATATATATATATAGGTACAACAAATATTATATATTTTTTCGATCTTTTATTGGAAAATAACAATATAAATTTTTGGAATATTAGAATATGTTTATAAATTTTTCATATTAGAATATTTGGAATTGGTATATTTTTTACCGTATTTGAGTATGTTTGTAAATTTTTTTAATATAAATTATAAATTTGCATATACTTATCAGGTCATGCGATTCAACTAGTGACCCACGGGTTGAGTACCTCGATCA